GTGCTGTTTTGAGGAGTCCCTAGCTCTCCATGTTTATCGCATGGGAAAACCATGAGATCAGCTTCCAAGGAGACATAATCAACATGACTTCACTTGAGATGCATTGAAGATTGCAATAAAAAGATCAGGAAGAAGGAGACTAATAGTACTAATAACAGAGACTGCTAAACTGCAGGAACAAAACTGGGTATAGACTTGGGCTGGCATTTCCTAAAATGTCAAGTTGTAGGCTTAGTAGTTGGCAGGTACACAAGGGGCAGAAATACTTCTGACAGTCTGTTAGTCATTCATTTTCCATGATATTTAAATAAAAGATAGGAGAAATTAAACGAACAGGAGTGCGCAGAAGTGGAAAACATTTTCTCTCTTAATTGATTTGGCTGACTGAATAGCAGTGTTTTTCAGCATCAGAAACACAAATGGCTGTTGATGGGAATCATTATGTCTGTGCCTGCACTTCCTTCCAGTGGAAACTGCTATTAAGATGTAAGTGCCTACAGAAGTAAAGCTTTTAACCTCCCCCTGCTATAGCATTTTATCATTATGAATTCCATTTCAGCATAGCGAGCTGAACAAGGTGCACAGATGAAGTGGGATACAATTTACTTTTACACAGCTAATACATTCCTAATTACACCTGAATAAATATTGAAAGAGGAATTTCTAATAACATTAACCATTACTCTCTTTCAAAACTGTTTTGCTGCAGGACTGTAATCACAGTTTCAAGTATAATGAGGCAGAAAAAAAAGGTTTTATTATTTATAGCTTTCAGTAGAGTGGTGAAAACAGTTAAGTATTTTTTAGCTGTTTCCCTACAAGAGGCTAATGCAAGCATCCAGTAATGTGGCAGTTTCTGCCATTAGTAATAAAATAAGTCATCCTGATGAACTTACAGACCTGAATTAACTTATTCTGCAAAAGCTACAGAAAATTTAAAATCTCTGCAGAGGTGTTCTATATGGCTATATAGAAAAAACGTATAGCTGTCATCCTGCCTGTTCACTGGGGAGCTGGAAAAGGATGAACTTTCTAGAACCGGGTATTAATATAAGCTGCTCCCAGCCTAGGAGCTCTTGTCCCTTTTGAGGCTACCTGCTGCTGTTGGTCTTCTCTGGCCAGCCACCCTCCTCCTTCCCCAAGATCACACACCGCAAGCATTTCCCAGGTGGGCACATCCCTGCATCGGGGACTCGCTTTGTGCAGTTATCTGCCCTCAGCCAAGGTCACCACTGCCAGAAACATCATTCTGTTGTCCAAATGGGAATTTACAACTGAGGATAGCTGGAGGAAGCAACGTGTATCTGTCTTGCCACACCTTAGAGAAGTCATAGCAGAAGAGAGCCGGCATAAATGAGAGAACTAAGGAGGGAAAACGTGATTTGTTTTATTTATGAAGCACAAGTGATAAAAGTTGAAGGAGAGAAAACTGAGCCATTAACAGGGAAATGTCACTGGTCTCATGAAGAGGGTCATTTAAGCCTGGGTTTGTGGTCCAAGGGCTATTGCATCTGCATTGATGCATGCTTGCCCAGGAGATTATCTGGTAGATTTAAAAAAAAAGGCTTCTAAAAGCCAAGTATTAATGTATGACAGCAAAAATCTCAGAGGAATTATTACAGCCTCAAATGCAGTATAATCTGATCATTTGTATGGCTTTTATCTTATTTTAGAATTCAGATTCATCTTCTTGTGATAGCACAATCCTCAACACGCTTACATTGAAAAGGAGGAGATGTTAAGGCTGCTGTCAAAAGTCCTGTTTCAAATTTGTCAAGTCAAAAAAACAGATCCCAAGTCCTCAAATATTAGTGGCATAATTCTTTTGAATAGCTCTCAGATACGCTCTTCGCTGTATCCAACAATAATTATAGACAGCAGGAGGATGGGAGGGAGGAGTAGAAAAGGGAATCTTGTCTATAAAAAGAACCCTGGTTATTCTGGTGTTTTCCTAGCTCCGGCTGCCATCTAGTGTTCTGCCAGGCACGGTGAAGTGCACGGCTTATTTGAGCGTGTGTGAATCTCCAGGACTGAATTCTGTATCTAAGACTGAATTCTAACTCTCCAAGGGGAGGAATGTTTGGTACAGCAAGTTGAGGATGAGCTCCTGTGAAATTAGTTCTCAAATATTTGAGGTAGTATCACATTCTCCGAATTAACTGTTTTACATGGTTGTGAGCGTATCTTCAACTCTGCTGAGTTAAAGACAGACATAACAAAACATAAACCCTTCACTGTAGAAAAAGGGGTAGACTTCTGTTCTTCCCTGCTGCTGTGGTACAGTAGCTGCTCTTGTATTCTGCCTTATTTTCCTTTCACTTCAATGGGTGTACAGAAGGCCTGAGTCCTAACTGAAGCAACACTGGTGTAGAGAGAATCATCCCAGTGTAAAAACCATCACTGCAACTATGCAAAACAAAAATAAGTATGACACATAATGTATAAACTCAGACTAATGCAGCAGTCATCAACAGGCAATAAACTTCTGGAACAGGATATATATACACACCATAATTTTCAGTACCTTACTAGCTTAAATTGTGCTAGGAAATTATTTCTGCTCTATTGTGGAAGATCTAATCCATCCTCCTCAAACAGGCAACAGCTTATAGCTCTAATTCAGTGAAATGCCCTCTCAGCTGAATTTAGTCTTTCAGTTTATTTGTTCCGACGTAGCATATGGCTTTGTGGCATGTTAGATTTTGCCTTGTTTTAGCAGGTAGACAGTGGACAGCAGGCAGAGAAGACATTTCAGAAGCTCCTGCTGATCCTTCAGAAGCTGTGGATCTTTGTATGAGGACTGTAGATACTAAAGAGTGATGGGACAGACCACATTCACTGTCACCTTTGTTGTGGACAAGCAATCTAGAGATTGAATGGTTTATACTGTCCAGATTTGGCTGACTCTAGCTCTGGCAGAGACTCTTGAAGTATCACATCACTGACAATACCCTTTTCGTGCCTGGAGTTTGTGCAAACAAAGGAAGCTATGCCAACTGCTGTAGATCCCAAAACAATGTGTTTTTGGAGAGTTGCCTGTCAGCACTTTAGAAACAGGACAAGGCTTGCGAAGCAATTACTTCACTCACAGGTAATTAATACAGCTGAATTAGCAGCTGGTTTTGAGAGGACAGGAAGGACAAGAAAAGAAAGAGGTGTCCCTTATTTAGATTGCTTTATAGTGAGATTGTAAATCAATGTTTTATATTTAGTCAGAATGTCTAGTTCACGCTGAGCCATCAGAGTATGCAGAACTAAAATCATAGCTTTGGGTCATAATGAGGAATAATCCATTTCACTGTGGGTTTTCCACTGGATTGCTTAACGGGGCTGGATGAGAACCTGAAGCCTTTAATGACTTTGTCTTTGGCACTACTTCATTCTGGGAAAAGCTCTGATGGATTTAATCTATGGAAAATCCTGCTTTGAAGAAGCAACAAAGCTTTGCAGGTTGTCACAGCAAACAATTACAAACTCTCAGCAAGTTAATTAATGGAGAGAGCTAGTGAACAGGGATGGTAGGTGGTAGTCTACCACCAGCCACAGTGATAGACTAAGGCTACTTCCCCTTTTTCATGCATACCAGGGATAAAAATCAGTATTACCTATTTTGTAGTATTGATTGTTTTAGTTTTGGGCTAAAAATCAGCACATCTACTCCAAAGACCTTTGTTAAAAATAGCAGTAGGTTCTGTAGCGACCACAGTCATGTGGACCATTCAGTCAAATTCTCAATATAAAAGGGCTGGTTAAATTTCCTCATAATGATCCCTTCATTTCCAGCAGTTATTTCTCAGAATTTTCCGCTTGCTCCAGCTGCTGAATCTGTGCTGATGTCTTCCTTCTAGCACTTTTAAGTTTGGTGAGATTCAAACCACAGCAAACTTTGCCGTCAGAAGTCACGCGTTAGTCACTGAAAAGCTGTGTAAGAAAGGTTCCTATGTACTGAACTGTTGATGTCTTCATGAGGAATATTCGTGATTTTAACTTGACAGTCTATCTGTTCATTCGGTGGTAACCAGTATACTTTTCTGATTAGCTTTCACTGGGCAATGAGACATCTTGTAAATATATAAACTTATCATAAATTGTATCTAAAAAATAAGTATCTCAGATGATTATCTCTGTCACTGCATCCTTCAAAGCAAAAAAACCAAGTACGATTGTTTTGAACATTTAGGAACTACCTTTCATATATAATCTCTCAAAAACATTTTGATTACACAGCAATCGTAACTTCTCTGTTTTACTAGAAAAACAGATTATTACAAAAATTTGCCAAAATTACAGGCTAGCACAGAACAATAAAGAAAATGCCTTTAAATTGTATAATTGCATTTCGGTGTCCTGTCACATGACGAAAGAAGTGGCCAATATCAGATGAATATCTGAGAAGATAATGCTTAGCAAAACAGCAAACAACAAGGATTTCTGATCCCCCCAAAATATTAAAAATAATTCAGACAATTCATAAAAGCTACATTCTTGGAGTAAAAAACAAACAAAAAAAAGGCTCATATCCAACGCAAATAGTGAGAGGACCAAGATGGGAAATTAATATATATTTTTCCTTGAAGAACATTATTAGGAAAGCTAACAGCAAGAAACCTACATGCTTCAACCAGCTCATGGGCCTTCAAAATCAATCACAGCTAATATAGCCCGTAAAGTTTTGAGTTCTGAGGTTGGAGATGATTAATGCACCATTGATCACATTGCAAGGTGTTAGAATCTTCGCTCTAAAAACCTCCTGCAGATGTACACATAATCCCACTTATCTGAAGGCACAGTGGTTTATGATCTACGTATATCAAGAAAAAAGTGTGCAACTCAGGGAAAGTCTGAAGCTCACAAACCCAGCTTGCTGAGATGCAGCACTGTACTCTGACAGATGTTATAAAAGGAAGCGTTATCTGAAGCCACTGCTGCTAAAGCGTATTTATTCCAAATGTGTTCTCCCACCTCAAGTATAGACATGTCTCCATCTCATCACAAATAAATCAGTTTAAAAAAGTTATGCAGTATTTGTTATACAAGAGCAGCAGAAATGGTACAGGTAATATACTTCTCAAGAAATAATTATGGTCCCACCTCACTTGCAGCAATAAAATTACAGTGAAATACTCAAACCTTTTCTATTCTTGTCAACAGGAATTTTAAAAGTACAATTAACCTAAGTCTGTCTGTTTTACAAGACCATTAAATAGCTGATCTCAATGTTACTCTTCTGACATCAGGTTCAAATTAAATATTTCTACAAAATATGCAAAAATCAACTGATATAAAGGACTGAAATTTGTAAGATGAGATCTGTTAAAATTTCAAGACAGAGAACACCATTTTTCAAAATAAAAACAGCAGTACAAAGCCAGGTTTTCCAAAGCACTGCTGTGTCTTGACTGGACCACCAATGAGACAGCTTTCTTTAGGAAACTTTAGACATGGAAAAAATCAGTCTGAAAACCAATCTAAGTGAAGCCTTTTTTTTTAAAGTGCATTAATTATTTGAACAGTACACTGATACTTTTAACAAGCTTAAATATAAAAGATCAAAGAACCAGTATAGTTTCAAAGTTCAGAACTGACACCAAGAATGAAATTACTAATATTTCTTAGATTTATAAACCCTTTAGTTTTAGATATGCATCTTCTTTTGTGCCTGTATACTCTGTAACACAGGGGAAACCTGATCCTGGTTGGTCACTGCTTTCATAACTTAGAGAAAATTATGTAAAAAATCTGGACTATGGGCTTATTTTTTTCCCCAGCAGTTTAATGAAAACTTTTGGATTGTAATGCTTCCTTAGACTTTAAAACACTCATCCATAAGAAACCCAAGCAAAATTAACACAAATTATAACTGCTGAGAATAAAACAGAGGACACAGTATCAGCTGATTCCAATGGTCAAATGCAAATTGTACTTCATCTTAATTGACATTAAGTCCATCTGGTGATAGAAAGGTATGCTCAGAACTTATTTCTGGGAGATACACATTTTCTGTCACAGTAAGTATTATTTTTGCAACTTCAATGAATTTGCAAGTGCGCTGGCCACTTAAGAGGCTAAAGAAGTGACTGTGTTCAACTACCATAAGAAAGGTAGAACAATGACTAAGGTAGAACAATTACTACAAAAACAGTGACAGCCATGTAACAAAGGCTTAAAATTAGAGCCAAAACTACAAACAACTAAAAAAAGTTTGGAAATGTGTGGACTACCTCTACAAAAAATGTAGCAAGGTAAGGAAACAGATACATTGATGACACTGAAGAAAACAACAGACAAGTTAGAGAAAGACTGGTTAAACAGCAATGCCTTAATCTTTCTGGGTTCAGGACCTGATGTGATGATGTGGTGTTAGTGAATTTTGGTTTGTCACTGACAGAACTAGGTATTTTTATTTTTTACACATCAGAGAAACTCTTGCAGTATAAAACTCGAAAAACTTAGTAGTACGTATTTGCTTCTTTTTATAGATCTTTATGTAATTGTGATGTTAAATAAAATACCTAATAGTAAAAGCTAACTTAGAACATTGATCCAACCTCAAAACACTATGTAGCTAGTCACGCCAATACTCAAAGACTACCATCTATCTTTTTTAATCAGGTTCAAGGTGTAGAACAACCACCACATGGGACTATGAGACACTATATAATTACATTTAAGGTGCAGCTTTGGCATTCAGTTAGTTGCATCATCCCTTTTCAGAGGAATTACTTGAAGTGCTTTGGCTATTCGCTCTCCTATAGCTTGACTGCTTGCTGCAATTATTCTTCGAGACATCAAGTCAAATGGTCCACCTAGAAATCAAAGCAAGCAAAGTAACCAGCTTGTACCTAGATAAAATTAAAACTTAGTAAGAAAATGAGCACTGAACAAAAATAAAAAAAGCAAGTGTAAATGACACTTTACTACTTAGGACCAAGTTTTGCCCCTGGAGAAAAACGCATTTAACACAACGGGTACCTCATATGAGCTACATTTAAATTTTCTTCAGTGTTTGCTTACTATGTTTTTTCACTCTTCCAGGTGCTCAGCAAAGGGACTAAAGGTTGTCTGGTAGCTTAAGAACATACAATTGAGAGTCTAGTAACTGGATGGGAACTTCATTCAGTAGCAGCAACTTGGAAAGAGGATTGAAAAACCTATTTGCTTTCTCATTTCTGCTATGTTTTGCTCCCAATTAGCTATTTAAAAGCTAATTTGAAAGCTAAAGTTGCATTCAGTGTATTTACCTGATACATCTAGCAGTACTCCGCCTGCTTCAGTAATAATGATTCCAGCCCCTGCCATGTCCCAGCAGTGAATCCCCATTTCATAATAGGCATCAGCTCCACCTGTTGCCACAAGGCACATGTTCACAGCTGCTGTACCAACAGCTCTAATCCTAAAGGAGAAAGATGATTCTTTTAACTGAGAACAGCTTGTCCGAAAGCCACAATGCTTGTGTACACTGCACCAAGAACACAGAAGCACTGCATGCAAAGTGAACTGAGCTAGACAAAACATGATAGATGTGAAAATGTGATGCAGCGAAACAAAAAACTGGGAATGAAGTCTTGCTTGAGCAGCTTGCAAAGTTCCCGAAATATAGACAATTTCCAAAAATCACATTTATGTATTCTGCTAAAAAATTCTGGTTTAAAGTGAAAAGACGTCTTAAACAACTTTTTAACCTAAAACATATTATGAAAGATAGCTACCCATGGAATAGTAACAGATACTCTGCTTTTGAATAAAAGAATTTCAGTGCTGAAAAAAACAGTTACTTCAGTTTCTCTGGTAATGCTCAGCAGGCATCTCTGACTTACAAAAAACCCTAACAGCAATAATCACAAAAAATAAAGTACACAGCATAAAATTTAGTCTAAATTTGGATAATCTCATCAAAACCCTTGTGCTACAAATCCCAGTTTCTTCTGGAAATGTTGATGTACTTAGTAAGTGTGACTTGTACGAATAATTGCAGTTATTTCAATTATCAGTAAAATTTAGATTAAATTGTAAACTGATAGAAGCTAAGTTATTGCAAGAAGCAACTAAATCAATTCCAATCTCAATTTATTGTTTCCAAATAAAATACTGAAGTTGAACTGACAACACACCTAAAATGTATTCCCTACTTACAATTTAGGATATATACTTTAATGACATCAGAAGACTTTTTGGAAGCAGAAAAAAAAAAATCTACATGTTAAGTGTCAGAACAAGACTCCTGAGAATCTCAGCACAAAAGTACAACCCCTTATAGATCAGAAACGTGAGTAGCGTTGAAAGTAAACAAGAAACTGTCTACTGAAACCAGTTTTAGATATAAAATGGTTTTTGGAAATGTAGGCTTTGGCTACATTTCTGTAGGAGAGGAACCAGGGAATGTAACTAAATTATGAGCAGTTTATGGGCAATTTCAACTACTTGGACAAATTAAAATTGCGTAGTGTTGAAACAGAAAAGGGAGATCTTTTTTGACTTCTGACACATATTTAAAAACCCAATGATTTTCATTACTACAGGAAAAGGAACCTAAGAAATGTAACACAGCTTCTGTTTCACTCCTTGTGGGTTTTGCGGGGGGGGGGGAGAGGAGGATTTGTGCGGGGAGGAAAGAGGCACAAAATTGTATTTCATTTTTTAACAGTAAATACAATGCTTTTTAGTCCTACAAAATCAAACATGCTTTGCTTCTCAATACTGGTTCTTTGGATGCTCTAATATATGTCCCAGCTTGAAAAAGTTAAACACACTAAACAGTTTCTTTGAAGAAGCTACTAGACGAAAACATTCAAATCTTATTTCACATTTAAGGTGTAACACAACCAATCCTTCCTGAAGATGATAATGTTTACAGTATTAACACTATCAGCAAGTATGAAAAATATGGAATATCTTACCCATGAATAGGAATGCTGAGAAGCCTTTCCATGTTAGAAAGAACTATCTTCATAGCTTCTGGATCACGATTTGATCCCAATTCTGTTACTAAAAGGGATTTTGTAATGTCTGGAAAAGAAATAAAACCTCACTTTTTGAACAGCGCAACTTACAGAGTAAAAGTAATTAGCAGATTTTACTTGTTTTCCTACGAGATTGAATAATAGGTGTTTAAATATTGCACATATCGAATGTATAAAAATCTCTCTTTACGTGGAAAATAGCAGGTAAAAAAAATACTGCAAATAAACCATGATCTGGTTCAACTGTGCACCTACATTAATCAGTACCATTAGTAAATAAAATTCTGTTGCTATAAAATAGATCTTTTAAGGTCCTCAGATCTTTAAGGTCCCACTTTAAGAGTGGATTTTACTTCACATAGGGTAGTAAGTCTACAAGAGTGATAGTGATTCAAACCAGTAGCTCACACCTGGAAGAAGCTGAATTGTTTGGTAGATTTGTTATGGACTCTTAAAAGAACAATCACAGAAGGATTATAGGCATACAAGGAATTAAAACCAACCAACCAAAGAACCACGACACACAGGTAATAAAATCTTAAGTTGCTGGGTCCCAATTCTGCAAAGATCACAAGCATGCTATACACATCAAAGAACATAAACACTGTTTCTCAAAACCAAACAACCCATGGCCAAACCCAGCCTCTTTGCAAAACAAAACTATGAGCTAGGAAATAGGAATATATCCAGGCCTAAAACTGTCGATGCCTCATTTGCAAAAATAAATGTAATTACCAGAAATAAACTACTCAGTCCAGCTTACCTTTTTGGCCTGATACTTGAAGTTTCTGACCATTGCAAAATGCACCTTTTCCTTTTCTGGCAGTATACATCTTGTCTTCTACACAACTATATACAACTCCAAACTCTATCTGCAAGAAAAAGTATCTTGGTATTTTTCCCTTTCTTCCTATTTACTGTGAAAATACACATCTTAGTTACAGTTAGCAACAAGGAATTAATTTGGGTTTGATTTATTAGATATTAAGTAATAAAAAGAGTACCTTTTTGTTTACAACAAAGCCAATTGAAACTGCCACAAATGGAAACCTACAAAACAAAACATTTCACTAATTTACAGTTAGATACTATGCTTCTTTCATTACCATGCTTACTTTTAATGAAAACAATATTCAGTTAAATGTAATGTACATTCCAAAAAGAAACCTGGACTATATAGGAAATACTAGTTTTCTGAAAATTTGCACAATTTGCTACGAAAACAGACGAAACAACACCAATTTCCATTTAAAATATGCACTTTTCCACCCACTGAAACTAAGCCTATTACAGCTTACGGACTGCCATTCCTGTTAAAACTCTTATTAGGTCAGGGACTGATATTTTATAGCCAAAGAATACAAGCAAACCTCTGTGCTACTAACCATGCTCACAAGGAACAAGATGGCCAAAATGGTCTTGTCAAAAAAAGCAAGGTAGCTTTTCCCCCCACCTCCACTTCCTACACCAAAGAAAGGTACTGGAGAGAGAAGGAAGGATCCACGGGAAAGAGTGAAGGCAGTGGGAGTATATGGGACAGGGTGGGTTGCATCGCAGTCTAAGTTTTTCACAATCAATCATTTATTATTTTTACTCTTCAAAATTTGCAGTTCCAAAACATTTGCTTTAATGCAAATTAATTGCAAAAAATACAGGCTTTGATGTCTGCAAATCCAACAGAACAGGTTATCTTCTTACAGCTTCTCAAAATGTTATTTTGCAGGATTCAGCAGCTGTTTAAAGCTGTGGTGCACACAGTAGTAGAGATTCCAAACTTGGAGTCAAGTACACTCAGAAAATCTCATCAGGGCCAAACTCTATCATGTTTTAGATAGAAGGAATAGGGAGTCAGCATTACACTGCAAATCCCTTCCTCATCCTGCAAAATACCACTAGACAATTACTGGTAATATTCTGCTTCCGTTCATGGCAGCAGCTTCTAGATCTCAATGAATTTTGAAATTTCTTAGCAATCAGCACTCGAAGCTGTTACCACCCCTCTGAAGATGATGCAACTCCTAATTATGAGTCTTGCTGCTTTACTGTTAAAAATTGCCCACCTATATTTGGCACCTGTGCTAAAGGCTGCTGACTCCTACTATGTAGCACAGGCCTCTCACGGAAAAACTGCTGTCGGTTACAGAGAGAGGCTACGATAGTTCTCACAGAAATACTAAAATATTACAAAAAATGACCCATTGCTCTTAATATATCAAAATAATAACTTGTAACTATTAACAAGTTCAGAATACCTTTAATATTTAAATTTAAATGTGAGAAAAAAAAACAACATACTTTCATGGAACTGGAGAAAGAAATAATGGTTGAAGTTGCTAACAAAGAAATGAAAGGTGGACCTGTGTACAAAGTTGGTAGTTCCATCAATAGGGTCTATAATCCATGTGGGGTTATCTGTCAACACGCTGCCCTCTCCAGCTGCAACAGATTCTTCTCCAATGAAGCTAGAGTAGCAAACACATTTCAAAGATACAAAGAAATTAAAATGTCTGAAATGCAACACAGTCTCTGAAAGCAAAGTTCTTAAAAGAGAGTGAGACACAGGTTTTTGTACCACCAGTGATCAAATGTAAAAAGCTAAGAAATACACAATTTATCTGGAAAACACCAACCACATCTGACCAAGCTTTCATCAATACTTACGATGTCACAGGTAAGCACAGTATGCAGGGAAGAGAACTTCACATTTTAATACCCATTACTCAAATTCACCATTCAGAACATTGAAGTTTTCACCATGGTTTCCAGTAACAGCATCATCAAATTTTGGTCAGAATATTTGTAGCTGTTTACCACTTTCAGTTTACTTGTGCTACAAAACACTACTCTTTAGCTTGTGTTTTAACTGAAGAAAGCCTTTGTGGTTAGACCACTGCAGTAACAGTTAAATTTGTAGTCTGATTTCAGTCCAAGTATGACAGAAAGTTGTTATTCTCAAAACTGTTTGGTTTTACAAGCATTACAAAACGGTGGTAAAGGGATAAAATCCAAACCAGAGCTCCTCCTGAAGAAGACAGCAGAGTATATAGTCAACCCAAAGGCCACACAAGGCACAGTGCTACAGGAACTCAAATTCACAGTTTTAGCTGCACATGAAAGTATTTATTTTCAACTGCAAAATTATGTGGATGAGTCTAAGTGGGTGTAATTCTTTTCTTTGCCTTTTGCATGTTTATTAATGTATCGCGTATTACTCAGCCTACGAAAAGTATGCAAACACATGACTTCCTCCACAAACACGTAAAATCAGAACTGCTGAGAGTAAACAAATAAGGTCTCTTTAATATTGATTAGCGGGTTTATGATTAACTATAGAAGTGAAGATGATTGCTCAGAAAGAAACAGCATGTGACAAATCTTCACAAAGATAAGAGAGAGACTGAATAGTTATCTAGGTGGATGAATAATTCATTAGAAGGAGTTCAACACTAGTATGTCTAATGTGGTATCAATTATGTAACAAAAAGAAGCTAAAATATCCTAAAATTTTTACCGTTTATCAGTATCACAGAAGCTGTTATGTCAAGGTCATTCCACAAGTCTGCATGCTTACACTAATTTAACTGGGTTACTGACATTTTGCACCATGTCAAGTTGCTCCAAATTTGTGCAGATTTATTACATTTCACATATACAGCTACAGTAATAAAGTCTTGAAGAAAATGTAAGAAAAATTAGCAAGCCCACTTTAAACTTGAGACATTATGTCAAAATGGGAGAGAAAGTCCCATATATGGTAGTCCCGGAGTAATGGTTGGACTTGATCTTAAAGGTCTTTTCCAACCTAGTTGATCCTATGATTCTATGTAAGTAAGTGAAATACACACAATTCACCCTTTAAGAATAAATTTCTTTCAGGAGGGGCAGGGAAAAAAAAAAAAGGAAAAGGAATTAAAAAAAAAAAATCAATATTTTGTATGACAGACTTAAAGAATCAGAAGATCCTGTCTTCTTTCAAGCATGTTTGATGTTCTTAAACTGAGATTTCACAAAGGCACACATATCCCACACAGACAGCAAAGGCATGTCAATCTCAACAGCCAACAAGAGACAAGAAATTTGGGGGCCACTGTTGATTCTCCAACACAAATGTATTTACAGCTGACTCAAGTGGAAGTGACTGTCAGCATGTATCTTGGGAAAGGGACCCTGGGGACACCTTGTCTTTATGCTACAGCCCTGGGCAAAATGTCAACCCACAACTCCTCTAAAATACTTAAAATAATGAGGGTGAGGAAGATTTCTGTAACTTTCAAGCATGCCTATCATAATGAAATTTTAACAAGCAAATTCATAAACTTTCCATTTTCTTCTTCTTCCAGACACCCCTCCCCTTCTTCTACCAAAAGTGTATTGATAAGAAGCCGTACCTGTGAGAAGGATACTTTTCTTTTATCAAAGAAATAATGAAGTTTTCTACTTTTTGATCAGTTTCTGTCACAAGATCTACTGGTGAACTTTTAGTCATAACAGATATTTCTTCTTTGAGTGCTCCACAGACTATCTGGTAAAAAAACAAGAGAGAAAAAAAGTTACCCATTTATGGAAAATACTAATTTTCATAAAAACTTGAGCATCATTTTTACTGTAATTTTCTATACTGCACATACAAAACACAAGCAGTGACAAAAACTGGATTTAACTGCAGGAGCTGGGTCTTACCCTTGCATTTATCTCCAGTCCCTACTCAGCACAAAAACTTCAATGTGACCTTAAATTTGCGTACTACAAAAAGATCCACTGGTACATGAAACAAAACTCTATTTTGTTAGGACAAGTTTTAGATTTATACATTTAAGCACCAGAGTTGAATGAAACACTTAAGCCTAAGCTTAAGCCATCTATTTTTAGCCAGACTCTGCATTTATGATCTTACAACTATCAGAATCAGCTTATGCAAGAATCCATGCCTCACAGCCCACGGAAGTATTTTACTACAACATAGAAAGATTTTCTGAGGGGAGACTTTAATGATGCCATTGCAGGGACAATGTTCTACAGATTCTGCAGCTCCAGGGGACAGAATCAGTACATGTGCCATCTTGTCTGGCTCAAACAGCATTCAAACACAGGAAGCAGAACTACCAAGAACAGAACATTTTGTTTTTTTGCTTCAGCACTCTTTATGCTGAAGCTCTGCAAAGATGTGCAAACTCTTTTCTTGTTCTAAGCCCTCTTAGATCACAAGTGGGCCAAGTACCACACTGCAAGGGATGCTTCTTATTTATAGAAGAAAAGCGATCTTCATGTAGAGAACATGATATGGTATCTGGTGTCCATAACAAGCCACTGTGTAAAGCTGATTGAGGTGTTTGCAAGAAAGACTGTCAACTGCTTTCAGGTGGTAAAGTAGATAGGTGAAGTGCAAAGGGAAAATCAGAGATCTTCCTTGTTTGCCACAATTCAGAATTTATTTCCTTTTAAAATCAAATTTAAGGAATAAAAAGATACTCCTTAGTCTTTAAGTGGACTCTGCTCCAAAGAAAAGAGCAAAGTTGCTTTCTTAACCAAGCTGTAAACATGAAAGACACTTCAATCTTTAACATCACTGAAGAATTCTGCTAGTTTATGTTTTGGGTTTGGTGGTTTTTTTTGGTTTGTTTTTTGTTTTTTTTTTTTGACAAAATACTCCTTGGAAGAATATCTAACATTTAACTCCTTCAAAACCCATATACACACAGAGCTCTATAAATAATGTTATTTGTAAATGGTTTATACTTACCTCCCCAGCTTTCCTTGCTAAGCCAACTGCATAATCCATACATTCTTGCCAAGGATCTGCCATCTTTTTTAGGTATCTAGCCTACCAAAAGGAGAGATAAACACAAAAATTATGGCTATTTCAATTTTTTTTTTTTTTTTTTTTACAAATTCTAATTTTCTCGTGCTGCTGTTCCAGACTGCACTGTTTTCTCCTTGCTGAAATATGGAATTTTGTTCTAGCTTTACTCTGAAAAAAAAAAGCCAAACAACAAACAACCCAAACTTAGAAAGTATTAAAAGCTTAGTATAAGTTACCAGACTTGCCCCCCCCGCACCCCCCCATCTTGTGGTTTAAAAGAAAGGTGAAACAAAAACATTAACAAGGAGAGAGCCTCAGTCTTGAAAGATACATGAATATACAAGGTTCCACATTTAGACACTGACCTCAATGTACATAATGGCTCTGAAAAGCAGTAGTGTGGGTACACACAAGCACATTCTCAAACACAGTGTACAGCTCCAGGTCTTTTTGCTTTAAAATATTATAATCTTCACTGTAATTCATTGCAGATGACTGCTCACATACAGCTTTATCCATTGAGCATGGTTTAAACTATTTTAAATATCTTAAATTAGAAAGTTAAATCTCAAACCCCAAATCCACCCTTTCTGTATTTTAGTCCTCCATGCATTTTCTAAGGGTTTATTTCAATCACAAATACGAAACGGTTTGGATTCTATATGAGAAAGTTATAAGACCCCACAGTCATTTAGAAGTGTCTTCTGTATTCTTACATATTACGAAGCAATACAATATACATTATCTTCTATGCATCTCTACTTTCTTGAGCAATGTGAAATACCAATCAGCATATCACACACTGTTTCTGACAGAACCTTAACAGACCACAAATTCATTCCATGCCACAATTCAATTCAGAGACAAACTCAATGTCATCTGAATTTTAGAAGTAATTTTTGAAAGTTTGATTTTTGAGCCCTAACACTTTCAAAAACCTTTTGGGTATTACCTAAGTCATTCAGCCTTTAAGTGATGACCTGGATAACCGTTTTGTAACACTTGCAGATTCACAAAGATTACATATATTATAATAAAAAACTCCAGCACTAAAACAGTATAAAAAGCCCTATGCAATTAACATCATCCGTGAGTCCCCAGCCCAATCGCCCTGCTCTAATGGTCATTGCCTCTTTCAGCCTTGGTCCTAAACAGGTAAACATGGCTATAAAAGCTAGATAACATGCAAAAGGTATGATGCTTCAATTATGTTGCTAATGTTCTTGCCATAGCCTTTGAAGTACAGGCTGTTACATAAACACAGACATACATTGTCAGGACACAGAACTGGGTATAACCGCTCTACATAAAGTTACTAAGTTATCCATAAAAGACTAGGAGCAGTAGTGGAACCTTAAGTACACCGAGTAGAACGACACAGACTCGTGTAGCAGAAGAAAAGCAATTCATTTACGCCTAAAACCTCACCAAAACGTTAACTGCATAACACGTACAAATAGCAGCACCTAAACTGATTAGCAGAAGAGTCTTTTCAGCCCCCCCAGGCTTAGTTTTGCCTTCTCCAGATGCCCTGTGAGGAATTCGTCCCACAGAATCAGGGAGCGCATTCAAAAGAGCGGTCTCAATCCGGACACAGAGGTTTGGACCCCCGGCCGGAAGGGATGAAGGTCGGCCCACATAGCCCGCCCAAGGTGAGTGCACCTCCCGCCCCGTGACCGTGTGGCCCGGCCTGAGGGGTGGCAGGGCTACACAGCTCCCCAGGGCAGCGGCACAGCCACCTCACGACACACCGAAATGGCGGCTGAAGGAGGAAAAAAGGAACAAGCAGCTCACCCCGGCCGCCCTCCGCCGCTGTCCCTACTCCCGCTGAGGCGCGCAGGCGCCAGGGGCGAATCGCTGACCCCGCCTCCTCCTCCCGCTGCCCTGCGGCCGCCGCTGCGGCTGCGCGGGGGAGGCGTGGCTGAGCCCGGCGGCGGGGCAGGTCGTGGGGGTGAGTGTGGTTGCCGCAGGGCTTGTTCCTTAAAGGTTGCAGTCGAGGGGCTAAATCAGCCTTTGATGTCGGCTTATTTTTAATAATTGGACGTGTCAAGATGAATATACTGTCAATGATCTCCCACAGAATCAACTAGGTTGGAAAAGACCCTCAGGATCATCAAGCCCAACCATTACCCCAGCACTGTTAGGACCACCACCTCTAAACCATGTCACTGAGCGCCTCATGTACACGGTTTTTGAACACTTCCAGGGACGGTGATTCCACCACTGCCCTGGGCAGCCTGTTCCAATGCCTGAACAACCTGACTGTGAAGAAGTTCTTCCTTAATACCTAGTCTAAACCTCCCCGGCACAGTTTGACTGTTTCCTTTTGTCCTATTGCTTGTTACTTGGGTGAACAGACTGACTACCACCAGGCTACAACCTCCTTTCAGGTAGTTGTAGAGAGCAATAAGGTCTCCTGTGAGCCTTCTCCAGACTAAACTACCCCAGTTCCCCCAGCCGTTCCTCATCAGACTTGTGCTCCAGACCCTTCACCAGTTTCGTTGTCGGTTGCTGGACCTACTGTTTTCTTGTAGCGAGGAGCCCAGAACTGAACGCAGTATAAACCACCATGGGGCACATGGTTGCCATTTACCAAGGCTTCTGGCTGCTAAAGGTACTGCTGTTGAGGCTGTGTTACTCAGCTTGCAGAAAAAAAATATGAAGGCCCATGAGAAGGAACATAAATGTATGTAACAGAGCTCTCAAAGTAAAACAGCATCTGATCAATCCAGTTCGCAGTGCTTAAAAACAGTAAAATGAGCAAGTAAAATGAACAAGTGGGTCTCCATTACGTCTGGGTTTTTCTCCCCAGAAACTCGAGTGAAGCAGCTTCCTCTGCCCTCCACAAATCCCTCCTGCTGACAGTTTTGCCAATCAGAATAATGCCAAATTGGTAACCAGAGACAACTAATACTTTTAAAATATATAGTAAGCACACTTTCCAGAAAACTGCTTAGCTTTCAAACAAGGATTTTTGATAATTTAAAAAAAACCCAACAAACCCACCAAAAAACCCCAGGCAGTACAAATGATGCATTTTCAACATTACTATGACTAAAATTATACAGGGGGGAAAAAAAAATCTTTCCAAGGCTGACTGATAACAGTTTCATTGTTTTTTCTTGGTCTTTCAAAGAGCCATGGAATGGTTTGGGTTGGAAAGGGACCTAGAAGATCACCTAGTTCCAACCTCCCTGCCATGGGCCACACAGCCAGTTCCCTCAGTGCCAATGCCTGCCACGTTCAGGGACACCTTCCACTAGACCAGGTTTATCCAAGCCCTGTCCAATCTGAACTTGAACACTGCCAAGGATGGGGCAGTCACAGCTTCTCTGGGCAGCCTGTGCCAGTGCCTTGCCACCCTCACAGGGAAATAACTTCTTCCTAATATCTAATATAAATCTCCCCTCTTTCAGTTTGAAGCCATTCCCCTGTGTCCTATCACTAAATGCTCTTGTAAAATGTCCATCCCAGCTTTCTTATAGGCCCCCGTTAGGTCCTGGAAGGCTGCTATAAGGTCTCCTGTTGTCTTTCATCACGTAAAACACTGAGGTGCTGTCTTGTGTTCACAAATTGCAACTGATGTAATTTACTGTCATATGTAAAATGATGGTCTACTGTAAACAGGACAGGGGTTGTAGTTTCCTTTAGGACTTGAAGCTGGTGTAAAATATCTACCTCACCAAAAGCAGCCTTATCCCCTTCCCCCAGTGCCAGTCCAACCCACAGTAAGACACTTGATGAAGGTCACATGGCAGTACTTTCGTACTTTCCACATCAGTGATGATGTGGTTTCCATCCCCAGCAGTGCTGTTGTGTGGGAAAAATCAATGCACCCTTCCATGTTTCCTACTTCCCATTTCATAAACAGGAATAGTCATATTAGCCTGTTTATTTAAAGTATTCACAGTCATTGAAGAACCAGAGATGATAAGGTGTGTTTTTATTAATTATTTTGCAGGCATTCTTTACAAGGTTATGCAAAAAGCATACAGCCAATTGAAAGAGGCATTTCAGCTCTGATTCATCTTTTGTTGAGGCAAGATGCCAAATATTTCTCAGTACAAGCTACATGGAAAATGGCTTCTTTGACATTAATAACACACTTAACATTACAGCAAGGGTTTTACAGGGTCTATAAGGGGATTTCAAATTCTGCATTGATCCCAAAATCAGTAGAAGTGAATGCCTGGAATTCTCTCCTCAAAAGTGTAAGAATTTCCTGATCCAAACCACAGTTTCTATTTCAGCTGAAAGGAAATTTTGTATTTAATGAAAGAAACTACTACGAGGAGAACTGAGCTGCAAGGAGCTGTATTTGTATGTTACACCTGATACGTGAGATGAACAGAGGTGATCTATTGATAAGTCTTCAGACCAGACTGATGACACTCCAAGGTACATACTTTTCTAAAACGCACACACAAAAGGAAACTGATGAAAATAAAAGTATGAGAGATTGCTGTCTGCTTTTTTAGTGTGATGTATTATTTCTTATTTGTTACAGCATTGCCTGGTTTAACTGGTCACTTATCTGAGCAAAATTGAGCTCTTGATGTTAACATAACTATTTCCAAACAGCATTTGGGTATACCACAAATGCCAAGTGATTTTGCAGCAGTATTTGAACTGAAACAAGACCAGGAGCTGCTACCAGGATTATTCTCAGTGATAAAATGTTTGCAAAGCCTTGACCTTGTGCATTCTCTACAATTGCTATACAGATATAACAACCAAAAAGCTTGATACTTATTTTAATAGATTGGATGAAAATACTGTTTATTATAAAATCACTAAATACTTTTTACAGATTCCACTTGTCAGTTAAGTAACTGCATACATTTTCTTTGCATCTACCAGAAGTGAGTTTAACTTTTTATTTATTAACTTTGAAGTTAAATAATTCAGCTACTTCTAAACACAAGCTCGTAAAATTAACAATGGTTTCAAATGTTGGTGTCCTCTCTACAATGTTTTGAGTTGTTGGTTTTGGTGGTTTTTTGTTGGTTTGGTTTTTTTTTTTCCCCAGATCGAGTTGTTTAACTTCCCCTATGAAAATGTGCCAAGATAACTAGCTTTTTAAAAACAAAAAATTATATACGCTAGGTAAAGATACCATAGAGGCTAAACATTTGAAATGTAAGCAGTTCTAGCCTAGGCAAGATACTGACACCCTGAGAAAGTTTCTGCTTCTGCTCCTCATGTCGATGATTAGGACAGTTTTCAGCTGTCCTCAATTATTTTTTCTGTCAGACTAGCTTAATTTAGTTTTAGTTCTCAGTTTCTGAAAACTAAGTGGGATGAGTTTCTGTATACAACCCCAGACACATTCCTGGAATAAGATGTGAAAACTTTTTGGAGTCTTATCAAGAGTGACTTGCTGTATTTGTACTGCCATTTACAGGCTACTAGCCCTTAGCAATAACTGGCAAGTGATGAAAGCAGCCTTCCTAGTAAAACCTTTGAGGTCTCACCAAAGATTTACTTATTGCATCCCAAGTTTTATCTTCCCTTTATCCACAACAAATGTTATTTTAATAATTTTGCCTGTAACTGCTAGGGCAAAAGAGTCAGGGGCAGAAGGAAGGGGTAAATGAAGAGTTCTATGCTGAAAAAATTACTGTTCTGTAGCAGCAGACTTTGCTACAGTAAGTATTGTTGGTTCTGTAACAACAGCAGCAGGAACAAGTTCAGCTTGAGGCTCTTCCCTGACTTAATTGTGCCACAATGATGTTTGGCCTCTTAGTGCATATTCCTTACCAGAGCAGCGTAAGAAAGATGACTAGAGAATTGAAGAGGAAAGGGAGGAAAAAAAATAACAAGGGAAAAGGGAACTGTTCCTATTGCGCTGGAAAGGGAGATGACAAGCGGCTGGAGGGATAGGTGGGGGAAAGCAAAGAAATGCATGTGTGCTTCCTGCTTCCAGGTAACTGACTAAGTATTTAGCCACTGAAGACCCTTTCCCTCATGGAAACCAGAAGCACTCTGTGTGGCATCCACACCATATCCAGTAAAATAATTTATCAATATCTAGGTCATGTTACACCTACAGTAAAGAGTACTGTAAATAAAAAGAAGACAGTTAATAGTGAAATGCTTATTGAGATGTTTTTGGGTGTTTATGCAACTTCAATATATAATAATCATATGTAATAATCCTACAGTACTCCTAAGTTGTTATAGAGGTATACTACATGATAGTATTGAAATCCGTGATGCTTTTTGTTCTGCCAATGGAGTGTACCTTTGAAAAAGATGCTAAGCAGACTCTTCTTACATTGTGATGTGTTTTTATTGCAGCTGTGCCTAGAATGGGTACATCATGCATGTCTGTTTTCAAACCAGTACAAATGAACCAGAATCTAGGTATACGGTAACACAGGAGACAATGGTTCCTTTTAGGCAAGCATGTACTAGGGAAAAAACAGGACCATTTTTCTCAGTTAGTGAACACGATAACTGAATGAGCCAAAGCACCAGATCCAGATTTGTGGCTGCCCAACAGACTGTGGTGCAGTGTTGACCTCTGAGTTGTTGCTCTGAGTACACTTCTCTGCCTCATGTTCTTCAAAGCAAAATTCCATTTCCACAGGACTAGCAATATTGCTTAGTCTTATGCCTCCTGTCCTCCCCTTAGAGTTTCTTCCCTGCAGTGGCAGGACAATGTTCCTGAAATGTATCATACTGACATTTTTGAACAATATATTCAGTCTCCCTGCGGCCCAATTACACCTCCAGGCATTAACTGAGTATGTTAAAGTCACAGTGCGCACACAAGACAAACACCCTTGCAAATATGAGAATAGCACATGAATATCATTGCCTGAAAGAAAGCGGCCCATGTCTGAAAAAGAAAGGTAGCTTTCTCTTTGAAAATGCGTTGAAAGGTGAGTCACACTGATCAAGCAGTGAGACAGGCTGGG